ATAATAATAATAATAATAATAATAATAATAATAATAATAATAATAATAATCATCATCATCATCATCATCAGCAGCAGCAGCAGCAGCAGAACCGGCCTGATTTCAGCGAGTTCGCAATAGATTTACAGTCCTGCAGACAGGCGAACCACATACAGGGAGTACGAAGTTGAAGCCGAATCCCACCTCCAGCCCTGGCGATATACAACCACGGACTGAGTGACAGTCGAGATAGTCGTCACGAGGGTGAATCGAGTAGTGGCCGAAGCGACGCCATATTGTCAGGCGATGCCTTAGTAACAGAAGAAAATCAATGCTTCACATGCATCCGTGGCCAACTGCCAAGGGAATAGGCACAAATAGACATCAACAGCCCGCGTTTTTCGGGCAGACGGTCAGTAGGTCGGCCTCGTCTGCTGACGGCTGATTGGTCCGACCGGAGTGAATCAGCCCCATTGGTTGTGAGCTTGGCCAGTCCCGGCGTTGTGCCTCGTGTATCCGTGACAATCGTTTTCTCTACTGATCACCCAACCGGGTCTGGGCAAACGCAACCGTCCTATCGCTTGGTCCGGGCCGACAGAGGCGGCACACACCCGCAGCACCATCCGAGGAGAGATGGTATTTAAGTCGGCCTCTAAGCTTCGCTGACAGAACAGACGATTGCTCCGGAATCTCGCTTCCCCGTCGACGACGTCAACGATTCGCGGCCAATTTCTACGGTTTTTGTTGTTTTTCAAGTGAAGTCACATAGTGTCTGGATTTAGCCGACTCTGCCCACCACTGCTCGGTACCACATCTCAGGCATGCACACCGACAAGTCGAGGACACGTCGTCGTAGCCCAACTCTGGTGAGCCTAAACTTTCAGCCAGTCTTCCTTTTTGAGACGAATCCTCACAAATCCTCCGAAAAGTCAGTATTCCCTCTTTCCCAAGAGAAAAACACGAGCAACCGCTCCTCCTCCTCCCCTCCATCTAGTTGGCACGTACCAGATCTCTCTCTCTCTCTCTCTCGCTCTCCTGATACACCTTGCAGCACAGCTGTGAGGAGGCAAGAAGAAGTTTTGCCACAGATCCCACAGTGGAATCAATCTGCTTCCCGATTCCATTCACGTTTACCGGGTCGTCCGCCAAGCAGCCACGACGGAGTTACTTATATTCAATGTGAGTAGTCGCCATGACTATGAGTAAGTTTTTAATAGGAGCCTAGATCACCCTAGTCATTGTGCTAAGACTCAGCGATGACATAATATGAGCAGATAGTCTCGAATTCTACTCACATCGAGTATCAGTACTATAGTCGGTTGCAATGGCTGATCAGCCTGTAGCCCCGGGAAACCAATTACGATGTGAAAATTCAACCATTAGCCTTTAGATATCCCTAAACGACCAAGGCTGATTCAAGTTCTTATTAAGGAATTACTGTACTCTAAGCAATTAATGTGTGTGTTTTTAATGTGTCTTAGAATCATGACCTGTTTATATGACGCTTTTGCAGATTTATACTGACATCTCCCTTAGTTCGTTTAGTATTCTTAACACATCGCATTATAGCAAATGAAGGGCTTTTCATCTTTTGACAGCTCGGATTGTGAATATTTCCCCTATATTTGCATAAAAGAAGCATGGAAAGCTTATATATATTTTTTTATATAGAAATATTATAAAAATATATATTTATACATATATTGGTTCCCTTAGTTTTTTCGGCCTTATTTCGCATATAATATTAAGAGTATGGCCAGTCCTGTTTATCACATGCGACAGTCTCGGTAAAATCTGGTTTTTTATATGCAGAAAATAAAAGATTAATACATATCAAATGAATTAAAGAACGCCATTGTGGCATTTTCTAAAAAAGCGTTATGCCTTGGCGGCCACAAAGCAACAAGGCAACCGACCAAAGGGCTTCCAATCAGAGTGGACAGAAATGTCAACAATCCTTCGAAAAATAGCAATTTTCCTATGCATCATTGGCTTAATTTCCATTTCGAATGAATGAAAGAGATAGCAAACTTTCTGTGTCGATTCCAACAGAAGGCAGGTGAACCTTTTGCTCTTTCTGGGCTGTTCACGCTGACAAAGTTCTTGGGATAGCCTCATTCCGACCCATTCCGCCTGCTCTACAACCTTGTCCGTCATATGACAGACAGAATCGGAGCTGTTAGGCAATTTGATAACCATTTCAGGCTAACACAGAGTTGTTGTTGGGAGAAATTACATTTCGTATGAAAGTGCATCAAGAAGAGATTCGTAGGTAGATGTCACCAGAAGAGGGCGGATGAATCGCGTTGTACAGCAGCCGTTGGGCTTTTATACGATGTTCATGTTGACGCAGTCCACGAGACTTCCTCGCTCGTTTCGGGTGAAAACGTGCTTAATTTCCGTCCATCATATGATT